GCACTGTTCCCATCCCCCAATTCCCCAATTTAAAAAAAAAAATCTTTAAAATGTACCACATAGTGGGCTCTTGTTAAAAATTGTTGATTGAATCATATTCAATTACCAGAGTCCACCACTTGAAAACCTAGATATTCTAATAGTTAAAAATTATTTTAAAAATTTAAAAATTGATTTTATTTTAATGTTTGGTATGAATTAGTTTTTAAAACCAGCTATCCCAATAAAATACTACATCCTTGGTGATCTTTATAACTTAATAGGTAATTTATTTTATTATTACTACTGCTAGTAATAGCTCTGATTTTTTTAAGCATCTAATATGTTCTAGACATAGTCCTAAGTACTTTAGTGCACCATCTTCACAAATCCTCCAATAGTACAAATGTGTGAGACCTTATACCTATTTATGGATGAAGAAAAAGAGCTTCAGGAAGATTAAGCTTTTCAGATATGACTCCATCTAACTCCACACTCAATGCTCTTTTCATGTTGCTTTTTTTTTTTAAAGATTTTTTTTTAATTGGGCAATTGGGGGAGGGGAACAGACAAGTTACTGTCCTTTTCTTCTTCAGTCTAGTTGTGGAGGGCGTCACTTCACTGACCCATGTTGTTATTGTGATCATTGTGCTCTTCCCAGGTGAGCAAATCGGTCGCTGGCCTCTGGACGGCTGCTTACAGTGGCTCTTGGCAGCTCATGGCGGCTCTTGGCTGCTCACGCCAGCTGCTGGCCACTCACAGTAGCTTATGGCAGCCCACTGCAGCAGGGACTGCAGCCAACGCCATAGCTGGCCACTCGGCAGCCCAGCTCCAGGTGGAGCTGTTGTTCACCATCCTAGCTGTACAGGGCAGTGTCACTAGCCCTCATGTGGGATCCGAACTAGGGTCCTGCTGCTCAGAGCTGGCGTCTCAAGTCACCAACGTGCCACTTGGCTGGCCCCTCATGTTGCTTTGAATAGCATTTTTCCTGATGCACCCAAATTACTGATGTTTACTTGGTAAATATGCATATATTAAATTGGATTTCATTTAAAACATTTCATATTTTTCTGGAATAGAAAACCTATTAAAAGTTATGAAGAGATTTTTTTTTTAGAAAACTAACTTAAATAAATATCAGTAGTTCCAGGTTAATAACAATATGAGTAATTTAGTTTAAATATTCATTTTTCTTAATTTGGAAAAGAAAGCCAAACATATATATAACTGATGTCAGCATTTATCTTTGCCTGTCAACACTGCAAATAAGCATTTATTTTGAGAAAGACATCTTCTCATTTTCATTTATAATCATAAAAGTAGGTCTGGCGGGTTTGACCATTTAGAAATTCAAAAGGCTATCTCATTATTTTATTTTTCTCTGTTTGTTTTTTGTAAGGATGAAGTTGCTGGTGAATGTATTATAGAGAAAGAGAATAGAATCTACCCAGGCTTGCAGCCACACACATCTGGGTCTGACCCTTCCGTGTCTCGACAGCGACGGCAGAAGAAAAGAGAACAGACTGAACACAGTGGGGAAAAGAGACAGGTTGGCCGAGATCTCTTTGAAACGAGTCATTGTGCTGCTGCTTGGAAAATGGACTTTAGGAATCTCTGTTTCTATTTAGAATGATTAACAGTTGCCAAAAAGGCACACAAGAAATGCAAGGAACTTGTAGAGAAGGATGACGATGACAAGGTTCTAAATATTAGTTTTCAAATGTCAGTGAGTTGGCAGCAGAGTAAGGATTTTACCTTCCCCAGCAGAGATGGGGATCATTTTAAGAGTTAGAGAAACAGGCTAACAGGGTAAATCTCTGATTCTTCTTGTTATATGGAAGAAAAGTTTCTCCATCTTCTGCATAAAATCATGTTGATACCTCATTTCTTTGTTTCTTTAATTGAGATGTTACACCTCATTTCTTTTTTTATTTCTTTTTATTTTCTACACCTCATTTCTTGAAGTAGCTCTCACAGGCACCCTCTCACAAACTTCTTCGATGGCCACTCAATTTTGGCAGAGTTTCTTTCCCCTAAAATGCAATGTTTTGAAGTTTTTGAGAGCAAATCACTGTCAAATACACAGGAGACTTACTGATGGGAGAACTTGGGAGGTGGGTTACTATCATATGAAACTGATCATCTCCCCCCTTTTTAATTATCTAAGTTCCAAGGGGCTCCTCCTCTCCTTTTGCCTTCTCTTCCCGCTGTTGGAAAAGTGGATGTCACACCAACCCCAAACAATACTGCAAACCAAAGTAGAGTGGTCGCTGGGTGCGTGAGCAGCCCGGGGAGCAGCGAGATGTCATCATCAAAGGTTTGTGGGGAGATATGTTGGATTTTTTTAAACCTTCTTATAGAGCTTTTTTGGTTATAAAGTCCTGCATAAGTTGCGAAGTTTTGTACTAAAACATCTTAGCCCTGCTTTCTGCCCAACTCTGAGAGGGATAGATTCGTGGTTCTCAGCAGAAGCATTGATTGAAATGGATGGATTCTAAGTTCCAGAGATGGTCACTTGTGGTTAACTAAGGAGACCAAGCAGATTCTGAATGGAGGGAATGCAGAATTCCCTAATTGCTCTTCTGAAAATGAGTGGAATACTTCCCGGAAATGAGGGCTGTGATCAGTCCGTGCCAGTAGCTGTAACCCTGTTGCAGACTGGCTTCAAATGGACACTCCTTTAAAGGTCTATGCAAGGCCTTTTCCTCTAGTGCTGGATGATTCATCACGCATAGTAGGTGTCATAAGAATAGTGAGTAGAAATGGAAATAACCCTGACTTTCTTTAAAAGGATCGACCGTTATCAGCAAGAGAGAGGAGGCGACTAAAGCAGTCACAGGAAGAGAAGGTATTCCCCTCAGGTAAAGTTGTTGTCTTTCCTTCATCTATTGGAGGTTGTTAGTATAACTCAAGTACATAATAAGCATTAGTTGTGATTGTGAGGTGCTAAGAATTTTCAAATATCAGTAATACATTTGGGAAACCGATTTGCAAGAAATTTGACATTTCTTAGTCAAGCCTTTAAAAACAAATCAGCATAGGCTGCTGGATCTGGAACTTGTATTATCAGTGGAAGAGGATATTAAGAAGAGAGCAAGAGGGCTTTGAGTGGCAGTAACTCCTGGCAGATTTCAGACAGGAAAACGGGTGTTTAGTTTGTTTCCGTGTTCAGAATTTGCTGGTCAAAGAAGCGCTGTCTTTTCGGGAACAGAGAGGAAAGAACCGGAAGAATGATGCTGCCTGGCTGAGGGCTGTGATCATTCCTATTAGTATTACATAAAGACAGTACTAGCAGTTTCCATTTATTGAATGCTAAGTATGTCTCTTTCATTATGGTAAGCATGTTAAGGGCCTTATCTCATTTCATATTTACAGCCACTGTCAAACATAGGCAGCATTATTCCCATTTTGCAGCTTAGGAAACCGAAGCTCAGAGAGCTTAAGTATCTTGGCCAAGGTCACAGAGCTGGATGACCTAGAGCCTAGCCTTGAAATGACATGTCAGATATAGAAGGTTGATTAATGTGCTGTCTGAGTTGCTTCTCGGCCAGCCCTTGCTGGGGTAGCTTTCATACCCTGTGCAAAGCCCTCTTCTGTTGAGGCCAGCCCACCACAAACAACCACTGGGGGTGGTCACTTTTTCAGGCTCTTCGGTGAGGAAAGCTTGTGTGAGTGCAGCGGGGCCAGGGAAGCCACCAGAGGAAGGCCAGCCGCCCCCTGCCCAAAGGTTGTCTTCCGGCCGAAGCTTTGCTCAGGTACGTTACTTAATTCTAAGGGAAATGGTGGACATGTCTACATCTGGCATGCCTCGTACATGAAACCTCATAAATGCCAGCTCCATTTATTTCTGGGACAGTGCTGACTTAAGTTACACTTTTTCACTCTTTTTTTTAAATTGGGGAATTGGGAGATGGGGAACAGACAAGTTGCTGTCTTTTTTTTATTCTTCAGTCTAGTTGTGGAGGACGTCACTTCACTGGCCCATGTTGGTATTATCATTGCGTTCTTCCCGGGTGACGCAGTTGCTTGCCGGCCATTGGATAGCCGCTCACGGTGGCTCATGGCAGCTCACACCAGCTGCCCGCTGCACAGGCTGGCTGCCAGCCACTCACGGTAGCTCACAGCAGCCTATGCTGTCACCGGTGACTCACAGCAGCTCAGCTCCAGGTTGAGCTGTTGTTCAGTATCTTAGCTGTAGAGGGCGCAGCGTCACTGGCCCTCATGTGGGATCTGAACTGGGGCCCTGCTGCTCAGAGCTGACGTTCCAAGCCAACTCATCACCAACGCACCACTCAGCCAGCCCCACTTTTCCATTCTTGATAAGGAAAAAAAAGGTTGATAATTAAAAGGATTGTTTGCTTCATTAAGACTTCCAAAGGGCTTCCACTAGGCAACACTTTATTTATTCTGCTGTGTTTCCAATATACCCACCCACCTGGCCAGATTTTAGTCTCACGTGCTCCGTTTTCTCAGTTTTCTGTGTGTGACAAAATCCCTTACCTTCTTACCTAGGGATGCTGTAAGGGCACCATCTGGTGGCTCAATGGGTAATTGCAAGTCTTCCAACCATGTATTCCAGATTCTGGCATTATTTCTAAGAGCATATTATTATTTTAAAAAATAGAAACTTCCTTCCCTTG